GCGTGTACACGTGTGTGCGCGTGTGCGTGCGTGTGTGCGTGTGCGCGTGCGTGCGTGTGTGCGCGTGTGTGCGTGTGTGCGTGTGTGTGTGTGTGCCGCGCGTGCGCGTTCAATGTGTGCGCGTGCGTGCGTGCGTGTGTGTGTGTGTGTGTGCGTGTGTGTGCGTGTGTGTGTGTGTGCGTGTGCTTATGCGCGTGTGTGTGTGTGTGCGCGTGTGTGTGTGCGTGTGTGTCCGTGTGCGTGCGCGCGTGCGCGCGTGCGCGCGCGCGTGCGATTGCGCGCGCTTGTGCGCGCGCGCCCCGCGCCGCCTGCGCAGGTCCGCGCGCACTAGCCCTATGTCGCCACGGGGCCTGGCCGCCGAGCGCGGCGCGGTGCGAGTGCGCGCGCGGCCAATGTAATGAAAGCGCGCGCGAGTGCGGTCACGCGAGCGCACGCGCGTGCGATCGTGGTTCGCTATCAATACGCGAGCGGGCGCGCACAAATGCGCGCGCGGCGCGCGTGCCCGCGCGCGCGGCACATGGCGCGCGCACGCGCAACTTTTTTTTGTGCTTGCAATATTCACATCGGGCAGCGCGGGCCTCCCCTTTCGCCTGCGCAGCGGCGCAGATGCGACCGCGGCGCGCAGGTGGGATCATATGAAGATCCCGCGCCGCGGATAGACTGGCCCGAGAGGATCGAGGGGGCGCGGGGGGGGGGGGTGCCGATGGGCCCGCGGGGGGGAATTGGGGGCCCTTCGGGGGCCCTGGTCATGGCCGCAGCGCAGATTCCGACCAAAAATCTATCAAAAAAAGGAATGCGACATTTTGATGAAACGACATGAAAAAAAAAAAAAAAAGAAAAAACAAAAAAAAAAAAAAAAAAAAATGATGAAAAACGAATGAAAAATAGGAAAAATACAAAAAAAAAAAAAAAAAAAAAAAACGTAGGACAACCTAAAAACTATTAAAAACATGTAAAAACCATAGAAAAAATGAAAAACATGAAGACATGTTAAAACCATACTATATATATAATAGAAACACATGTAAAAAACACTATGCAAACATGAAAACATTAAAAACATGAAAAACATGAAAAATAAAAAAAACAACCTGAAGAAACATGAAAAAAACATAGAAAAAAACATGAAACACACATTAAGCACATGAAAAAATCACATAAAGAAAACATGAAAGAAGCATAGAAAGACACAAAAAAAACATTAGCACCATGAAAAACATGAAAAAACTATGAAAATCATAGAAACACATGAAAAACATTAAAAGCATATATATATATATATATATATATATAACACATAGAAACACATGGAAAACACATAAAAACATGACAAGCATTACAAACATTAAAAACATGAAACACGTGTAGAAACGATTAAAAAAATAGGAAAACCGAACGCACATAGAAAAACCTGAGAAACGTTAAAAACATGAAAAACATGGAAACATTAAAAGCATGAAGAAACATGAAACACATAGAAAGAGCATGAAAAACAAAAAACAGCAAAAACATGCAACACATGAAAACACATGAAGAAAACATTAAAAACACAGAAACACATAAAAAACATTGAAAGCATGAAAAACATGAAAAAAAAACATGAAAAACATCAAAAACATAAGACAACGTTAAACAACATAGAAAAACATTAAACAACACCAAAAACATGAGAAACATGAGAAACATGAAAAACTGCTAAAAAACATTAAAAACATGAAGGAAACATTGAAAAAACATAGAAAACATGAAAAAAAAACATTAAAAACCTGAAACACATCCGCAAACGTTTCCACCTTCCCAAAGAAAAGACATGGCCGCGCTCGGCAACCCCCCTGTGGCCCAGCAGGGCCTCTACCAAGGTGCAGTAGTAAAAAAAGCCAATAGAAAGCCGCCAGCGTATGCAGAGCCGCGCGATTTGTCCGTCTGAAGGATGCCCAGGCGCACCTGGGCGGCACTCTCTCTTTGCACGCGCCCCCCCTTCCCATGAATCGGCCGATCGGTTGGTCGCTCGGTCGGTCACGTCGGTCGGTCGTCACGGTCGGTGGGTCGGTCGGTCGGTCGGTCAGCCGATCGGTCGGTCATTCGTGCGCGTGCACGCGTGCGCCAGCGTGCACGCGTGCGCACCTGCTTCATGTATCACGCGCCTGCACGTGCTACGGGCTGCCCACACGTATGCATATGGCGCGTGCGTGCCTATACATGTACACGTGTGTACCATGTTTACACGTGCAGGTGTGAAATGACTGCCTGCATTCACGTGCCCGTGTACACTTGGGAAGACGGTTGCACGTGTATACGTGCACAAGTGGGTTACAGCCGCATGCGCGCGTATCTGTGTATATTTATTTGCACAAGCATACACCTGTATGTTATGTGTATATATATATATATGCAGGTGTCCGTCCATGTATGTATGTAATGTAATAGAATGGAATGGAATGGGATGTAATGTAATGTAATGTAATGTAATGTAGTGTAATGTAATGTAGTGTAATGTATGTATGCATGTATGCATGTATGTATGTATGTGTGTATGTAAGTATGCATGTATACTACGTATATGTGTGTATGTGTGTTTGTTTGTTTGTTTGTATGTATGTCTGTATGTATATATGTATGTATGTATGTATGTATGTATGTATGTATCTACGCACACATCTATGCATATATGCACGTTCGCACGCACGCATGCGCCCGAGACCCCAAGTGCAATGTCGCACTGGGTTGGAAGTAGGAGATGTCTGTTGCACGTGGCTGGGGTTAGAAAGTGACCGCCGCACTATTCGAAGATGACTGCCGCACAGGGCTGATATTATAATCAGTTCGAAAGGTCAGCTGGCGCGCGAGCTCCTGGCAAAGAATGACAAGGGAAAGAGGGAAGAGTGAGGGAGGACGAGGCGGAGTAGGAGGAGGAGGGGGACGAGGGAGGAGTAGGTGCACATCGCTAAGACAACCCCCTCTGGCATGCAAGTATGGGCTGGCATGTACATGTACAATATACACATGTGTGTATAACATATATATATATATATATATACAGGTGTGCGCGTGCGTGTGTCATGGGCTGGACTCTCTCGATGTCCCTTGCCATGCCGAGTTCGGGCCACTCGTGCTCCGTAAAATCCGACCCCACTCATGTATTGCGTTCGCCTTGCCCAAGCTCCCCTTTCGCCTGCGCTGCTGGTCAGAAAGGGCTCGGGCCCAGGGTCGCGCGGGGGTTCCCTGCTGAAGCTGCTCTCGAATGCGGGAGGCAACAAACGCACAAGTAGATCACATGAGAGATTGAACGAGATCCGTCAGTGGGCACTGGCATGACTCGAACGCCAATGGTCACTGGGCAATACACATGCGTGCACGTACATGTGTATACATGTCCGCTCAGCGCGTGCACGATATGTTAACCATGCAGTGCGGGAGGCAGGGGTGGAGGCGGGGCCCACGGTGACAGGGGGAAACAGGGGTGGAGGCGGGGCCCACGGACGCGGATCCTCAGTCTGTCTGGCCAGCACGCTCAACCACGCTATATCACTGAGACTCGCGGACGCCATCTTACTGGATGGCCTGCAGGGCCTACTATTTCTTTCTTGCAGGCTGCGAGCGCCCCTGTCTGTCTGATTGCATGGCTGCCATGCTGTAGATGGCACAGAGCAAACGATCATGCAGCATCCTCGCCCGCGTCCTTCTGAAGACGGATCCCACCCCACTCATCCTCGTGCTCTTATCTAAGGCGCTTATATTATCGCATTCTTATCTTATCACACATATAGTACGATCGTGATCTTATCCCACTCTTGTATGGATAAGTATACACGCCCACTCTTATATTATGATCGTGCCCTCCTTCCTTAAGTTCCTCACCATCATAGAGCACCGCGGCCATCCTCATCCTCATCCTCAGTTCCTTAAGGTCCTTAAGTTCTCTCATCCGTGGCTCCTTTGCTCCACTTCCCCCTTTAGCCCTGACTCCTCCCGCCCCTCCGCATCCCGTGGGCTCACGTTCCCATCCCTCCATATACTGCTAGCACGCTAGCTCATGCGGGGCACAAGCCAATGAGCCCTGGCCGCAGCTCCCATCATTCTGAAGAAGCTCGCGCGGGCGAAGTGGTCGTCGGCCCTGCCCCATCATTGTCCGCATCGGGGCTCGACTCGAGATTGGCGAATCGGAAGGTGGCGTCTGCATTCCGCATCCCGAAACCAGGCCAAGGGTGGGCCCGTCGGTCTCGATCGATCGTCGATTTCACATCGATCGAGGGTGAGATTACCACCATCGATCGGCAGGGATGTCGAGGGGGATCGAACATGGGGCGGGCTGCAGGGCGATTGCGTTTGTCTTACCCTCCGTCCGTTTCGTTTCCACCGAGCGTCTCCTTTTCCACATCCGTCCTGCGTGGGAGTCTCACTGATGCCATCTATACTGCCTCGATCCTCCAATGCAAATCCTAACTGATAGCATGCATGCTCCATCCCACGCGCCATCCAAACTACCTGCACCCCCCCCATCCCCGACCCTGGCGAGGCAGTACATAGCTGCTCCGTTGAAGAAGACCACCACATATACCCACCAGCACCTCCCCAGGGGGGCAGACGATATCGGATTGACTCGGCACGCTGCGAATCCGCGGAACTTCTGCGTCGAAAGTCGGACAGATGATGGGATAAGGGTGAGGAGAGATCAGATGAGGAGAATTGCCACGTCGTTCGAGCATCGATGCATACCTCGAGTTCCTGAGGGCCGACTTCGGCCCTCAGGAACTCGAGGTATCCCCATCTCCAAATCCCTCAGGCTGTCTGGGGGCAACGTGTGGGGTGCAATGCCACCGAGACGCCTCGAATCGCATGCCCTGGCACGCGATTTCTCGCCTTGTCCTGATCCTTGTCCTCCTCCTCCTCCTCCTCCTCCTCCTCCTCCTCCCCCTCCTCCTCCTCTTCCTCCTCCTCCTCCTCCTTATCCTGGCCCTCCTCCTCTCTTTGTCACTATCTCACGTGCCCTCCCCACTGTATCACTCCGCGTCGGCGATGCCCAGCGCGGACAGCACCTCCTGCTTGACTATCTTGCCCTCGGCCTTGGAGCCACGGCCCGTCTTCACCATGACCTTCATGCACTCTGTGATGACGATCTCCGCCGCCCGTGACGCTGAGGGCCGTACTCCTAGATGGCCTTGCACGGCCTCGGGACACATGCTGTCCTGATGCTGGAGCAACTGCGTCCAGCCCGTCCAGCCGCCCTCCGTCATACTGCGAACGAAGACCGTGCTGATCTTCTCCATCTCGCGCCTCTTTTTCTTGACCTGGTACAGCTTGCCGGCCTCCGTGGAGCTCTGAACTCGTACACGGTGCTGCGAGTGCCCTTCACAGGCAACTCGCAGGTCTCATCATCAACGTTGGGCTGCCCAGGCAGCGGAACGTACTCCACGTGGCAGCCCTCCTCGACTATGGGATCGACCTCCTTCGGTACCTCCTCCTCCGCTTCCTCAATGCCGTCCTTCTCCTCTTCATCTTCACCACCCTCCTCGGCCTCGACCACGACCTCCGCCACTTCCTCATCCTCCTGTTCCTTTTCCTCCTCGGGCTCGGGTGCCTTCTTTGCCTTCTTGGTGCCGCAACCTTTCCTCGCTGCTGCGGGCCTCTTCTTGGATGCTGCTGCTGCTGCTGCCGTTGTTGCCATTGCTGGCTTTCCTCTCTTCATGGTCGGGGCTGCTGGTGACGCTGCTGGTTTTCCCTTGCTAGGGGCATGTGGTGCTGCGAATGCAGGTGGGATAGCACCCAAGTTGACGCGAGTCGGATCAGGGGCTCTCTTCTCGGACGAGAACGGTACAGCGCGAGCCTCATCCTTGTCGTGTTTCTTAGATTTATGTTTTCTGTTTGTGTGATTTTGTCCTTCCCCTTCCTCCTGCTGCGGGTCACCGCCGTGCCAGTCATGCTACCGTAGAAAGGTAAATCCTCCGCTCCAGTGCCGTGCTGAGCCAGAGAACCATCCCGCATCTCCCAGCCAGTCGAAGACGCTGGCGGCCCCGCATCGGCCCCCCTCGCCCTCCACCGAGCCTAGCAGACAGAGTAAAGACTGGAGGAGAAACGAGGAGGAGGCAAGGAGGGAGGGATAATGGTCGAGGGAGACTCCGATGGGAGGGAACGCAGGGGTTGGAGAGGAAGGGATGAGACCAACGCAACGTGGGACGGACGACGCGCTAGTAGCAGGCAAGACCTCGCTACATCGATCTGGCCTACCTCCTGGCTCGTGGCAAAAGTAAGACGGGCAATGCGTCGATCCGAATTGCAGTGGCCCCGCTCTTGGCGTCAACATATTATCAGAATCACGGTGTGAATTTTGTCGGGTGACGGGGCAGGGCGGGCAAGGGGGCGATCAGGGTTAAAGTGGTCCATCGGTTCCCCCCAGGCTCACTTGAGGAAGACGCGGCCCCCGAAATTGTGGATCAGCGCCGGGTGGGAGGGGGTGCCGAAAGACGCACCCTCGATCGAGGTCGAGTGGTTCAGCGGTGAGTCGTTCGGTCCCTCCTCCCCCCTGCACTGCAAACTCCAAGATCCAACATAAACTGCACTTGGACACGGCAGGTCCGCGTCGCGTCGACCCGCTGCGGCCCCGCCGCGAGCGTTCAAGGTTGGGCGACGTAAGTGGCCCAGAATCGGCCATTTTGGGGCGATCTGGCGATCGGGAAGCCGCCGATCGTTCAAGGTTGAACGATCCAACGCGGTGTCAGAAACCATAGTCGAGGTCGTCACGACACGGACCTGCCGCAAAGGATCACTGACACAGGCGACGCACATGCGAAGCCAAAGAGGCGCGTGCACACTCGAAGATGCGTCATACCCCACCCCATGGCTTGCGGAACGCTCTCCTGCGCCCTCTGGATGTACATCCGCAAGGTGTGCTCGGGCAACTCCTCGATGTCGTCGTCCTCGTCGCAGCCCTGTCAGCCCGATCGCATGCTGCAGATCTCTCGATTGCCCTTCTTCTGTTCCTATTCCCTCCTCCCCATGCGTGCGTGCTTCTCCTCCTCCAGAATCCTCCTCGAGTTATTTCTCTCCCTCATCTCTGCTAGAGGCCCCTCTCGTTCTCATACATCATACAAGAACGAAGCGCTTAGGGTCAAAGGTTTGATTCACATGCCCAACCATATGCAAATGCAATCAGCGGCCCTCTCATACTACACGTGGGAGGGCGGATATGGACCAGCTGGGGGCGAGGGCTCAGACTGACGATCGCGATGAGATTCACCACCAGGGCGCGCCATCGGGATCACTGATGCTGCACAAAGCATAGGCGCGTCTGGCAGTGAGACGCGAGGGGAGGAGGAGATAGATAGATCGAGAGGTGAGGGGCAACGAGAGAGAGAGGGAGAGAGAGAGAGAGAGAGAGAGAGAGAGAGAGAGAGGACGCGATCGAAAGATCGCGCCCTCTCTCTCGAGTGGAGAGCCGCCTCATCAGCTAGCTGGGTGTCCATCGCCTCCTCCTGGATCTTGCGGCGCTGCCAGTGCGCGCGCATGACGCGGAGGGACCTGCACAGCAGGAACCTCGCGCCAGGGAGACCATGACTATACACCGCAACTAGTTCATGGTGTCACATATATGCTACACGCTCCGCCGCACGTCAGACCACAATGCCAACAATAAGAATCAAGATATCACATGCTGCACAGGCACCGCGTCGACTCGCGCGCCTCCCTGAAATAGCCCCCCCCCCCCTCTCTGTCCGCGAAGCCTCCCTCGAGATCCCTCACGAAAAAAAAAAAAAAAAAAAAAAAAAAAAAAAAAAAAAAAAAAAAAAATAAAAAAAAAAAACTGCTGATAGCAATGGCGCGTTTCAAGCGTGATCTGTCCACGCACACGCACGCACCTCAAGCTCAACATGCTGATACGTGATGGGACCTGCTCCCACTGCCCTCTCTCCCCCCCCCTTCGCTGCCATTGCCCAACCCTCCCCTTTCCCACCCCCTCGTACCTCCACTCACACCCTCTTATACACCAAGGCGTAGCCTCCCTCCTCATTGCCTTCGCTATTCGCCCCCTGCCCCCAGCAACGCGATCCAGCCTCCATGTTCTTCTGTGAGATGCGCGTGCCCTCCATCTCGAGCGTCATCGCGATGAGCGTGCTGTCGAATACCTCCCCTGATCCTCGCTTCATGCACTTTCCCCCGTGCCCTCGCTCACCGCCTCCGAGTCTTTCCTTACCCGTGCCCTTGCTGCTCTCCGTCTTTCCTTTGCTCGAGTGGGCGACAAGATCTTGTCGCTCCCTGTCCCCGCTTACCTCCCTCCCCTTACCCTCGGCCCTCTCGGTCCAACCTCGCCTCCAGGCCTGCACCCTGCTATAGCAGCAGGTCCCTCGACCCCTCCATGCATCCCTCCACGCCCTCGCTCCCCTTCCTAACCCTGCACTTCCCTCCATACCCTCGAGTCTTCGCATCTTATCCTGACCCCCCCCGTCCCACCTGCCAGGATTCTGGCTGAGGCCGACAGGAAGAGGACTTCGCTGGATAGCTCGACCAGTCGGGGATGTCGTCATAGCCTACGGCCGCGGAGGGCGGTCGGGCCCTGAGCCTCATCATCACCCTCGCCCTCAGACTCACCCGCGCCCTCGATCCACATCCTCATCCTCGCCCTCGATCAGCTTCACTCGCAGCGATGGGGGCGAGGCAGAAGGTCCGCGAGAGTGAGGGTGATGATGAAAACGCCTCCCCCCCTCCCTCCCCTAACCTCCCGTCCCCGAGAGCGAGGGTGATGATGAAGCCCTCGATCCGCTTTACTCGCAGCGACGGGGACGAGGTCAGCGAGAGTGAGGGTGATGATGATCATGCTCCTCTATCCTCCCGTCCTCGAGTGCGGTCCCCCCGTCCCCGAGAGCGAGGGCGGCGATGAAGCCCTCGATCCGCTCTGCTCGCAGCGACGGGGACGAGGTCGGCGAGAGCGAGGGTGATGATGATCATGCTCCTCTATCCTCCCGTCCTCGAATGCGGTCGCATTCCCCTAACCTCGGATCCCCTCCTCTATCCTCCCCTCCCTCCCCTAACCTCCCGTCCTCGAGTGCGGTCTCATTCCTCCCGTCACCTGTTCCTCAATCCTTATCCGTATCCATGCCCTTCTTCGATTCCCTTCTTACCCTTCCCTCTCCCACCTCCTTCACCCCTCTCTCCTGGCAGGCAGCGGCCTGGCAACTTCGGGTGGGTCGCGTCCACAGTGGTTCCGATCGCCTCGCAGGCGGGCGGAGGCAACCGATCGACGACAACAACACGACCGCTAACGGGGCTACACATGACCGCCTGTTGCCCCCCCTTCTCCCTGGAAGTATCTTCACCTCTATGCTCCTCGACGTGCTCGTGATCCCCCTGATCCCCTCGTCCCTCTCGATCTCTACCCCTCCTTCCTCTTCTGCCCCTTCTCCCCCCCCCCCCCCCCTGCGTCCTCTATTCCTCCTTTTCTTTCTTTTCCAATCGAGAACGCCCCCATCGCAAATGCGGCGGCCTCTGCCATGAGGGCGAGGTCGATGTCAGCCGTCTTCTTGTTCCTCAGCTTTTCCATCGCGGCTGCAGCCCGGCGATGGAAGATCGATCGGGACAAAGAAAGATGATTCGGACGAAGACTCGAGGTGGAGAGAGAAGCGGAGGAGAAGGAGAAGGACGAGGACGAAAACGGCCTCGGCTCCGGCCTTGACCAACGCCATGTGCGAGCGATATCGTCGCACGAACTGGCCTCGCGCCCATCTGCACCATCGCATCGGGATGGTGCGGCCCGGGCACCGTCGAGGAATCGATCTGACAAGACCCACGGCTTCGGGGCGCCCTGGGGCCCGGAGGAGCAGGGGGAGGAGGAGGAGGAAGATCTCCAGGAGCGGCGCTCAGAGGAGGCGCAAGCTTAGGAAGGACGGGGTGGGTGGAGGAGGGGGGAAAGGCGAGGATCCCAAGAAGGATGGATCGAGGAAGGATGGAGGAGAGAGGATGAGTCCTCGGGGCGCCACTCTGGCACCCCAGCGGCGTCGCACGCCATGTCCACCAGCCGCGGCACCGCCTCGAGCGATGGGCCGCCATCGCCCATGGCGCCTCGGGACGGCCGAAATTGATGGATCGACCGTTCGGCATGACCGCGCTGGTGGACATGGCGGTCGGCCGCATGGTCCCCTCTCCCCCGGCACGGCCTCCAGGGCGGGCGACGCCGCGCGGCCGCGGCCGCGGGCGGCGCGCGCGCGTCGCCGCGCGGCGACGCGCGCGAGGGCGCTCCCGCGCGGGCGCGCCCTTGAGCAGGGGCGACGGCAGAGCGCGCCGCGAGCGCGCGAGCAAGGCAGGAGGGTCGAGGTGG